CAAATACCATTATTCTAGCTGTCGTGCAGGTATATTAATGCCGCTTACACTGACTTCGAAGGAATTTCTTATAATGAGAGAAACAGCCTCTCTAAAACTCACGTGTCTAACTCTCTTCGAATAGACAATCAAAGAAATAGTGGGCCAAACAGCTGGCCCGAAGATGTTCAGTAGAGAGTGTGTGATGGCCAAATTCTGATTTGCCGAAGGATTACTAACTCTTGGAAGAACAATAAGGAAACAGAATATGATATCACAAATCAAATGAAGGATCTGGTACAGCATCCGGATAATCGGCTTTGTCTCTGTACTCTCAGGCTTTTCTTCAACGTATATGTGCCTGAATCAAAGTTTTATGAAATCTAGCCTCTCTCTTCAAATCACGGATTATTGAGAAAATAATAATAATTAATGAAAAAATTTAGAAATGTAGGAATTTCTTTGGAAAAGTTCTGGACCGCAGCGTCAGCCAATCTGTGAGCGCTGACAATGAATTTCCTCTACACCTGCCCTTCTCCACGAATGGGATTTCATCATGAATGAAAAATGAAAACAGAAAATGAGAGAATGTCGGAGAGCTGTTCAACGAGTTTGGGAGCGAAATGGGAGGGCGAGAGGAAGTGAACGAGGAGAAAAATGGGAAAGCGAAAGTGGGCAAGTGTCGGAGGGCTTTCAACGAGTTTGGGAGCGAAAGGGAAAGGCGAGGAAAGTGGACCACTAATAGGAAGTAAATTTTGCCACCCATCTATTTCCGGGCTTAGTAGGATCTTTCTCACCATCAGTATGAGCATGTTTGTTATTGGGCTGGTTCGGAAAGGGAGAAAAACGTTCGCCTGTTCCTTAGCTTACTGTATTGGGCGAATATCGGGATGAATGCAGAGCTGATGGTGACTACGGTAATTGGGCATGTGGGGCGCATTCTAAAGGATGACCGGAGCTGAGCGCTTCATTTCATATACTTTACCTCTAGACCTCGAAGTAAGGTGGTGGAGAGTGTGAAAAACTCAATTAGCAGTCTTCTATTCCCCAAATATAAATTTATTATAAAATCCGGTTCACTCCGTAAATGAGCACGATACCGTCCTCGTTCTGTGTTCATACAGGGAAATAAAGTCAACAGTCGGCTAACAAAAAATATAGGTATAACATAGACTTCGGATTTTTTATAATATAGATATTAAACCTAATATATGAGCCATAACAATGGCAACTAAATAATGGACTTACATATATAGCAGGTCAAATATGGAAAGGGCATAGAACATTAGAGCAATTAATGATGAATAGGCTACCAAAGAGAGCATGAAGACATATTCACGATCGGTCTGTTGCCAACTGAGCGTCTCCAATGAGAATCGACGAGCACTGAAAACATTCATATCGTGTCAACCCGACCCCATATCCCATTTGACAATCGGGTAACCTTCCAAGTCTCTAAACAAATGTATACGGACTCACTCGGTGCTACGCGTCATATCCAAAGAAGCATTTACGGCCAAAAGAAAAGTTACAGCAGTAAGAATTTGTATCACAATATCAGGAAAAAATTTTCGCCTGAAAAAGTTGGACTTTTCAATTTTGAGGCAAGAGCGTCAGACGCTGCTGCAGTTACTTGGTGAGAATACTCGGAAACTGGAGCAGATGGTGGGTTCGTAAATAAAAATGCAGTGGTTAAGTAGAATGAAGCAAAATGAGGCATTGATTCATTTTCCAAGCCGGTTCTGGGTGAGGATATATGATGTGGAGACAAGCGGAGGTGGTATAGTGGCAAGTTACGCATTACCACACCCGCATGGGCCGGACTTCGAATTTCCGATCGATAGTCGCCCAAGACAAC